AAGAATATCTCTGAATGAATTCCAAAAGGCAAACGAAAGGAAGAGAAGATTAATAGAAGAATTACCTCAACTCGTCGAATAATTGGATTAATTTTAATCCAATATAACAAGGATAATTCGAATGGAAGCACGACACGTAACACCGATATCTTTTTATCGAACGATCAGATAAAGATCAGATTGTAACGATTCGTTGGACGATAACGGTCCAGTTTTAACGTAATAATTAATAAAGAACAACGAATCGAACGATTTCGCATGCATGGATCGAAACAATGTTGAACATCGTGCAACGCGTTGTGAATTGTCCGCTCTTTTATCTCTCGTATCTTTGATATTCGTCGCATACGGCGACGAAAGATCAACGTTCCGGCCAATCGATTTCAATGATACGCTCTATTTTTAGACACTGCGCGCTGTGTCAGCTCGCTTGATCGAACTGCGTCAAAACATCACCTCGAATTCCAAAGGGATTCTAAAGAGTTTGAAAATTCGAAATAAGGAATTAAAAGAGTAAAGAGTTTGTTCTTCTACTTTGAACACACACGCGCGTATATACGGTAGAAAATCTTTGAAGGCGGTTCGCAGTGGATTTCACACCGGAAGAACCGGCTCCAAGAAGCGGAGCCAAGAATGAAATCATTAATCGTCCTTTCGAGCAATATATTATTTACGAATTTCTATTCATCATCGTTCTTAATGTATGCCCGCTAACCATCTGCCCACTTTAAACTGCGAAATGGTTCTCGCGATCGCAATCGTTCCTCCTCCCCCATTTGTTACGTGTAAACAAATATCCGCCTGCCTCCGCGTTGAAATTGGCAGCCTCGCGAAGACGTGATTAAGCCGCCCGCCCCGATATTTCCGCGCCAACGATCGTACAAGACAATAACTAAGAGATCTAAAAATACTTTTTCCAATCGATAATCCCGTCCTTTCACCGATTTTAGAAACCCATATTTTCCCTCGTTAATTCCTTCTTCTCCGTTTCAATTCCATTCCCCTTATCTCTTCCCAGCTAATGGGTAAATTTACGATAAGACAAAATGGATTTTTATCACCCCGTTAAATTCAAATTAGCTAAGCATCGGTTTAATTTATTCGAACTAACGGGGTCGAAGGAAGATTTTTCACGGGGAAGATTATTCTCGATAATATTCGAACGAATCGAGCGTTGGCGATAAAATTGAAACGAGAGAATTAAAACGCGCACGAGCTCGAATTCCAAGCGTATTCGAAGTGGGGAGAGGGGAGGGGGGGGGGGAGGATTCGCGAGATAGATTACTCGAAAGAAAAGGCGAGGTGTTGTTATCCGATTTTTCTATATCGGATCGCGGGGAGAGGATTCGTTTGATCGAATCTTTATCGGCTCGAACAAAATGGAGGGAAACGAACAGAAGCGAGACCAAGGGAACCGCGCCTTAATGGAAACGAACTAACGACCCGTGGAAACGTAAACGCAGTCACGTAGCGGCGGGTAACGATCGGCCGGTGACCAATCAATGGTCATTATTTATGGTTATGGGTACGATCGCGGGGCACGACTGCTTTTCGTACGATTCCACGTACGACCCCCGCGTATTACGCCTTAACGAGTTGCCGTGTAAAAATGTGAGCGATCGCGTGGAATAAAATCGGCGGTTTACCCACCGTTTCCATCAAACCGTCCCGTTATTATTCCACCTTGGACGACAATGCTCCCGCAGCTAGATTCCAACCATTTGCGTGGAACGCGACTTTCGTGCGATCGAATACGCAGCACCGGTTTTTACCCGATCCTGATTCAACCTGTGTATCAAAGCAGCGAGTTTTCGAGTGTTTCTCCAAGAAACGAAGGCCAACGGCACGACTTTTCCATTCGTTATCGATTATTTTCCTCGAAACGAGTTGTTTCGGAAAGAAGAGAACGCAACGATCGAAACGGAGAAGGCGGGATCGTTGCCGATCGACGCGAAACGCGGCCAATCGTAAATCATTATCGTCGTTCCGTTAATTGACGTTAGGGCCGATAGGAGGTACGCGATAAATGCCCCCGCCGTTCCCTTCCCCCGTTCGAGGTTTATCGGCGGGGAACGGAGCGATCTCCACGCGAGAAATGGATAATTGATTATTATTAATGAAATGCTTGTCCACGATCATGCTTTTTTAACCGGTGTGTTTTTTCTTTTTTTGTTCTCAGGACGAAGTAAGTAACGAGCCACGACTGTTAAGAGGAGTGTACGTAAGCTCTCGTACGCTCTCGGCCTCTGTAGGCGGGACTATACTATGACGAAAACGGCACCCGGACGAACGTGAGCTTTCCCGAAGCCATTAATGTTCACGCTTGTTCCTTCAACCTTGGAACGACTATTATACTTTTCACGATCCATCGATCATTCGTGGCCATTCGTTTTATCCTTTCAAGCTTCTTGCATCGAGAAGAGAGAGAGAGAGAGAGAGAGAAAATTACATCAAGATGCTCGGACAAAGATATATATATATATATATACACATTTAATAAAATATCGAAAATAGTTTCTAGAAGCTTAAGTAAAATCGCGTTTCATCCAGCTCGTGAACAATAATTTTGAAAATAATTTTCGGACGGATTACGTAATTACGCAATTCGTTTTCTAGAGAATCATCTCTTAAATTTTTTCCTACCTGTATATATATATATATATATGTATATATATATACACAGTGATCGCATTATAAGATCTATACACAGCGTATACTTAATTTACCGGCCGGTAATTGAACCAACTTTTTTCCACCGCGTAATATTCCGCTCGCGGCAAAAAGCAGCCGACATGAAAATCACGGCCGGGACAGGTGGCCATCAATGGAGAGACGAAGAGATCTTAATTCCCCGAATGACATTTCACTCGTTTCCGCGATGTGAAAACTAACGAACTAACAGGTTCGAATTATCTTCGAATCTGACCTCCCGAATTGATATTGAATAATCTCGATCGGATGCAAACACGTCTCCGTCGAGATCCCGTCGAAAGAAACCGTCGATTCGAAGCTGTAAATACTTCTCTCGAAACGGGAGAAGAGAAGGCCGTGTCGACACACTTAGCCTCGTTTGTTCCGAGCAATAACTCAAACGAGGGCCTCGACTTGTCCGACGTGACGATTAGATTAGATTCGCGGAAACGAACGCGATCTTTTCTTTCGAAAAATCGAGCCAGTCAAAAAAATCCATTATTCATCGCGAGAGCTTGAAGAGTTTTCGAGGAAGGGTCTTGAATCGCGCATCGAAATGATTGCAAATCTGTATTCGATAGAATTATTCTTCTTATTTCTTTTCGTTTTGAACGAAGCATAAATATCCTTGTTGACTTCGTATACTCGGAAGAATCATTGAATCAGAAGCAAAGAAAAAAAGAATTCCCGATCTTATCCCATTCGTGGTCAAGAGAAAAAGGATATTCGTAGGAACCAGTTATCCGCTCGAAAATTCCTTTGCGTGCGCGCAGAGATCCATTCTATCGGATTTCCCACGTGAACCGCGCCAGTATTCCCGATATTTCCCGTGCATTCGAACCCCCCCTGCGGCGATCGTTCCTTAATTGCGCGTTTAATTTCTCTCCACACGGGAGGCCAACGAAGGCTAATTAATTTTTAATAAACGCAAGGATATATCCGTTCGTACGTTTTCTTAAATCGTTAGCCGCGATTTAATCCAAACGGATGGAAAATCGGCCAAACCTCATAATCCTCCTTCATCCTTTCCTTCGCCCGATTTCGATTCTTTAACTCGTTCATCTTCCATTATTAACGACGATTATCGATTCGGCCAATTCGAATCGAGCACGATTGAACACGGGATAATACGGGATTCAGCAGAGACATCTGACCAAGGACGAGCGTCGTTTCTTTCGTTCAACAGGGATTCACGTGGAAGGCGATCGTTGGGAAAAAGAGATGGGTGACTCGAGTGGATAGTTTCATTAACGGTGATTTAAAAGAGAAACGAGGAGGCTGACTGGTAATTAAAAACAATAATGAAACTCTGGACGCGACGATCGTTAATTAGAATTGATAATTGCGAGCGAGGGATCGCGACACGCCGCGGGACAACGCGAAGGCTGGCCGGTATTGAGAAACTGTTCCTGCAAGCCGGTCTCTGTATAGAGCCGCGATAAATTTTCCGACCTCTTAATTGATTTCTGTTATAGGCAGAGCAACGTGCTACCTATAACCACCTTCCGATGGTATTTAAACGTTCGATACGAGCTTGTCCCTCCCCCTCCCCCCGAGCAGCAGAAGAATCCCCTCTCGATCCAGGGAGGAATGATTTAATTCGAGTATACATTCGAAGATACATAAGAGAATGTTAACATAAACGAAGCACCGCTCCAATATAATCTTTTCTCTCCGATTTTCGCTAATGGACGAATTTCCAGAGCTGAATTTGATACTCGCAAGAAACTTGGAAAAGGGAGTGTTCATCCGTCGACATCGATCCCCTAAGGACACCTGCGCTATTAACAAAAAAAAAAAAAAAAAAGGTAACTTCTTTTCAGAGTCCGCGGTTTCTCGATACGATACGATACCACCTGTCCCACTTCTGCCCCACTGGTACACAGCTCTCTCTCGTTCCACAGTATCGTTTAATGAATTCTTACCGTCCCTCCCTCCCCGCCCATCCGTCCTCGCTGGCAGACGTAATTAAAAGGAACGTGACGCGCAAGTTTAGTGGCGCTTTAAGACCGGGCTCGGATCATTGCACGTAGCCGCGGACCGCGATTCATAGCAGTGTGTACGACTCACTTCGCGCGGCCCCCGTCGATCCTCGCTCGATCGCGATCCGCACAGCTATTCGCGGCGATCGTGCCACTCGATCGTGTCCAACTTACGATCGTAATTATCGGCCGAGCTTTATGGGGTCCGCACGGCGTACACCGGTGGAATTCCAAGTCGAGAGCTTTCCTCTTCTTCTCCCCCGTGGATGGAAATGGAGGAGGGGGGTCGGCCTTTGAATCGCCGATCGACAGGGCAACAGTGACGATATACAATAGAAGTGTAATCGAGGATGGCCGATTACTTTCCATTCACCTTGGGAAAACTTGGAAAAAGCGTTCTGAAACGCTGTCCTCGTAGGTTCACGCCGTTCTCCGCGAGGTTTTGCAAGAACGATCGATAAATTTATGAGGACTCGCTTCGTTCCTCTCTTACGTTCGCTTCGAGGAATTCGCTGTAAACGGTCTCCTTTTCTGCCACGATTATTTTATTTCCCGAGATACGATACCGTAACGTACTCTGCGAGAGTAACGTTTCCAACACGTTCGTTCGTTCGTGGGGTTGGAGGGAGGAGAGGGAAGAAGAAACGAGATGCGTTTCCAAGATTGGCGCATTCTCTTTTTTTTGGGGAGGGGGGGAATCGTGGAGAAAAACGCGGCACTCCTTCGCAAGAATTCGTTCGAAGACAATATTTGAATCGCCCGGTTTTTATCCACCCCCTCCCTCGAGAGGAAGATGATTTCGCTAAATCTAATGGTTATCGATAATGGTTAAGACGAATTATTTCCACGTTCTCTCCCCCCTTTTTCCACCAATCTGGAACGGAATTCCCATCCCGTGACAATCCAACAACCGATCGCCTCCGGACCAATTCGAATCGTGCCCCTCTCTTCTCTGGAGGACTGGCTCGCTCGATACCGGTGCAATTAAAAGCAACGTGACCGGCGAGCCAAGCAGCAAAACTGAAAGAGAACGATCCAAAGGTTTCTACGATTCGTTACGCAAAGGCTGGTTCGGAGGAAACCGAGTGTTCGAGCAAAGAGACGAAGGCGAGGCGCACAAAGAGGGATATTATCGGCCTAGCTGTCGCGGACGTGTGGGTCGTAGACGAAACGCCGTGGCAACGCCGACAAAACGTTCCGGATGACAGGACAATGATGAAGCGGTTTTAATTGTTCCGGACGAGTTTTTCCGCCAATCGAATCGCATCGGTAAAATTGCCGACGCGAATACCTCGAGGAACGTAAAAACCAGCGCCATTGTTCTTCTTCTCTACGCGGTGGTATATATAAGTTTCGATGTTTGCTCCTTTCTTCCTCGACGATTCAATTATCTTTCCCTTCGATCGAGCCGATCTTTTGCTCGATTTCGTCTCCTCCTTCGTCTTCGGACGACTTCCTAACTCTCCCGCGTGAAGACGAACTGCTACCGTTGTTCGGTGGTGACGACGAGTGACGAGAACTGACAATGACCCGCGGGCGTTAATCAAGGGTGGCGTTGAGAAACGTGGAGGAGAAACGACGAGAAGCGAGGTCGCGTCTTGAGCTGACGTCTAACTCAAGGAGATAGGAGGGGAGAGAGGAAATTAGTGTTCGTTCGTGGTCCCCGGTATGCGGGGTACTTTCGAGGGATGTACTCGCTGCCGAGTAAGAGGGCGTCTTAGCGTTATTGGTTTTACCCCTCGAGACGAGGAGGGGTGGTTGTTCCTTAAATGGAAACGGCGAGAGAGCGAGAAGTGGGCCCCCTGAATACCTCTTTCCTGCCACCGACAACGAGACTACTTCGCTTAAGTAATTAGACTGCCGACCGACCGTTCGTTACCTCGCTCATTTCCGAACGGAGAGGAGAACGAGAAACTGGCTTACGAGCCCTGTCGCTCTCTCGATCGCTTCCACGAATTTTTGTTGGATTGAAAAAAAAGAAGCTTCGTCTTTGGGGGGCGAGAAGCTTGAATTAAAGGTGGGAAATTCCGAGTTGAGATAGAGGTGCATAAATTTCATATCACGAAGATGATATGTATTTTCACCACAGCGAGAGAGAGAGAGAGAGAGAGAGAGATAGTCCATCATCATCCGTCGTTTTAAAAAACGATTAATTATAGGGAGAGTAATGATCCATCTTCACGCTAGAATCTGGAATATCTACTAATAAGCATGATCCTCCGGTCGAGGATCGGTAATTCGTGGAGATTTGTATAAAATGCATAAAGAAAGAGGTCGAGAGGCTTAATTATAATTCTTTATTCGAGTACGTACTTGGAGTCGATGCACATAATTTTTCCAGTTCGCGCGATCAAGGAGAGCGAGACACGGTAGACACGTTTAGACGAAATTGAAACTCTCGCGTATATATATATATATATATATATATATATATGTTACTTTTTCGCTTGGAACAATCAGTCGTTCCGCATGATTATCATCCCAGATTGCATCTCCTCGCCCCGCCCATAGGAATAATAAAAGTCGTGGCTTTCTCGTGTGTGTACGTGCGTGCAAGGTGTATAATCATTACGATATTTACGACGAGTTATTAACGTCGAATGGAAGCGTACTTATATCCCGCTTGACGTTCGATGAGCACGCCTATCCAATCGCCGTTTTGTTCCATTGTCTCGGGCGGCTTCCGATCGATAAATCGTATCGAAAATGAAAGAGATTTTTCTTTTTTTTTTCTTTTTCTTTCCATGAAAAATTCCACGACTATTCACCACCGTGCTAGCCACTGCACTGACTTTTATCCAACGGTTTTCGTACCGTTAATCGGACGAGGAATAACAATTAGCACAGGTGAAAAAATAATTTGTTGCCTCTTACCGAGATACCGATTAATATCTCGAGAGTCGTAACAACACGTCCTAGTCGGTCTGGAGTACAACAACAATAAGGAGTTTGATTTACGATCGTGTTGTCTGTGTTAACTGCGCATGACCGGTGGTGGAGAGTACCGTGAAAGACTCTCGTGGCAAGACTCTTCGAAGACGGACGGAGAAGAAATCGCGTTGAGAAGGATTCGTGGGCCAACTCGTATTCCAACTCGTCGAGCGGACATTTATTTGGCACGGTGAAAAGTAACTACTCGCGTATATATATATATATATATATATATATATATGTACTTTTTCGCTTGGAACAATCAGTCGTTCCGCATGATTATCATCCCAGATTGCATCTCCTCGCCCCGCCCATAGGAATAATAAAAGTCGTGGCTTTCTCGTGTGTGTACGTGCGTGCAAGGTGTATAATCATTACGATATTTACGACGAGTTATTAACGTCGAATGGAAGCGTACTTATATCCCGCTTGACGTTCGATGAGCACGCCTATCCAATCGCCGTTTTGTTCCATTGTCTCGGGCGGCTTCCGATCGATAAATCGTATCGAAAATGAAAGAGATTTTTCTTTTTTTTTCTTTTTCTTTCCATGAAAAATTCCACGACTATTCACCACCGTGCTAGCCACTGCACTGACTTTTATCCAACGGTTTTCGTACCGTTAATCGGACGAGGAATAACAATTAGCACAGGTGAAAAAATAATTTGTTGCCTCTTACCGAGATACCGATTAATATCTCGAGAGTCGTAACAACACGTCCTAGTCGGTCTGGAGTACAACAACAATAAGGAGTTTGATTTACGATCGTGTTGTCTGTGTTAACTGCGCATGACCGGTGGTGGAGAGTACCGTGAAAGACTCTCGTGGCAAGACTCTTCGAAGACGGACGGAGAAGAAATCGCGTTGAGAAGGATTCGTGGGCCAACTCGTATTCCAACTCGTCGAGCGGACATTTATTTGGCACGGTGAAAAAGGCCACCTCCTCCTCCTCCTCCTCCTCCCTTAAGAACGAACCTCTCTTATTATTATGGCAGCAGTTGTACACTGAACGGGAAAAGCAGTTAAGACCGACTAGACAATAAAAGTTGTCGTAAAGTTTGTCACTAAGCGCGCGCCCATCCTGCCGCCGGTTCGTTAATTCCTCAGATTTATTGGCGCGTAAACTTGTTGAATCAATGTTCTTCGCGGCCACGGACGACCATTATGAGTCGTTACGTAAGAATAATTTTTTTTATATATTTATGTACGAGGAAGAATATTTTGCCCGAGGAAGTTTAGAAGAGAAAGGGTTTACAGGGATACGGTAGTCGACGCTTGTAACGGAAAGTCGAGCTTTTCTGGATGTTTTATTCGAGAGATTCGACGATATACGCAGTCGCTCGAAATATCTATCACTTTGGTAGCAGTGGCAATAATTGAACACATCTCTCGAAGGACGGATGCGACTTTTTATACCTCGTCGTCTCTAAACATAATTTAGCTTTTTCATCGCCTGTTTTTTCCCCTCCTTCATATTCTTTTCTTTTCCCGCTAGTTTCTCTAATTTGATGATATTTCAACGAGCGAGTTTTTATCCTTTTCACCGATGATTCTTAATTGTAAACAAAGGGAAAGCCTCGAAAACACGAATAAAATAAACGCGTGCAAACGCGTTTAATTTTCAATATTCTACAAATACGCAGCCAACGCATTCTCCTTCGAAGGGATAAGATGGAAATTTTCTAAAATACTATCGGAAGGGATAATTAAAATAAACTCATAAGCTAAATGAATATTCGCGCGTCGCTGTATCGTTCGATTTCGTCCCTCTGACCGCGATTAATTACTAATTCTGCCGACATTTCGACAGATATCAGCTGACAATAGGATCGTACCGTGTTGCAGGTCCGCGCACGAGAAGGGTGAAGAGGTCGGACGGCCGTGGCAATGGCGGCACCCCGGAGGAGAAACGGCCGAGGACGGCGTTCAGCGGCGAACAACTGGCCAGGCTGAAGAGGGAGTTCGCGGAGAATCGATACCTGACCGAGCGGAGGAGGCAGCAGCTCTCGAGGGATCTGGGCCTGAACGAGGCGCAAATCAAGATCTGGTTTCAGAACAAGAGGGCGAAGATCAAGAAGGCGAGCGGGCAGAAGAATCCGCTCGCCCTTCAGCTGATGGCCCAGGGGCTTTACAATCATTCGACGGTTCCGTTGACCAAGGAGGAGGAGGAACAAGCGGCCGAACTTCAAGCGAAATGACGACAATAAGATCGATCGAATGATTCGGTTTAAGAAGATACAGAGAGGAGAAACTTTGTTCGTTTCGTGATCTCGTGAGAGGGGATGGGACTTGATGATTTCTCGCGGTTGAACCGGTAGTAGGGGATGAAAATGGGTTTGTTATAAGGGAATGAACGTTGGTAGTTAGATAATTTAATAGGTTCCTCCTGTTAAACTTTTTTTTTTTTTTTGCGAAGGATCATCATTGATTGTCCAAAGAGATCGATACGTTTTTTCGTTTCATCGATCGATTGAGCGATAAATTCTTTCTTTCGGGTGATTGATTTCATCTCAGAAATCGTTAAATGAAAATTTCTCTTTTATCGATGAATAAATATAATTCGTACATTTATGAGTAAAATATATATATCGAATCGTCCGACGTTTAAATTAATTTTCGGAACGATACACGCAAAATAACTCTGTTTGGAAGAAACACGAGTGAATTTAACGTTCAATCGTTAGATACTCTCGATATTCTGAATCTCGGAAATGATCGAAGGATCGTTTAATAATGATCGGTTCGTTTCTATGCGATATACACGATTCGAGAATAATTTGTGGGAAAATTCAACGCCGCCGATCGAACGTTCAAATTTCGTTTGTCTTCTGCAGCTTTAATCCGAGATTCTCTTTCTGGACGAATCGGGAAAGCTCACGAGTTCTATCGGTTTCACGAATCGAATGATGGTGATCGTGCTCACGGTGATCGCAACGATAACTATCATTCGATCGACAAGCGAGGGGAGGATGAGGAGGAATCAGCACGCACGTTCCTATGAAACGAGTAAAAATTTCACGTATTTAAAAACCGAGCGATGAATGATGAACGGAAGAATCGCGTCGTTCGCGATTACGCGTGAATCGAGCAAGTCACGGTGAAATGGGTTGTACAGTGCCATTTGTACAGTTTTCTCGCGAACAATAGATCGAAGAAAAAAAAAATAATAATAAAACGAGACAGACAGTTCTTTGATAAAAGAACCCGGTACTCGAGGAATATGAGAAAATGGAGAAAAATCTTCGCTATGAATGCGTGAGTGCAAGAGAGAATGCTTGCGAGGAAGAGAGAAAGGAAATGTACGAAAGTTAGTTTCGTTCCGTTAATTTATTGTAAAAATTGTAAGATATTCGTACAATTGCGATGTGCAATAGAAGACGTTATACATACGAGGTATATGTACGAAGAGAAGTATAAATAGAAACGACTTATGTATAGGTATATATATATATATATAAATAAAAGATTGATAAATCGTCGTGTAAATAAAAACGCAAACTTAGCGAGAACGTCATCTCGATAGACTGTTTAAAAATAACTTAGTTATTTATTTACCTATGCTAATACGGAAGGCTCGATGCAATATCGGGCGCTTATACCTTGTAAGAATTATTTAAAGATCGAATTAAATATTCCCACTATCATGAGCCACGTATCGACGTGTTCACTATGTTCTATCTTTAATATCCATCCTGCTCCTTTGGTCCAGATAATTCGTCCGTCTATATATATAGAGTTCGTTTACCGATCGGGATAAATGTTTTTCAAACATTCAGGCAAAGACACCGACGATGCTGTATGCTGATAAACGGTCGACTAAATAATTACGCGATACCAAGTAATTAACGCGGTTCCGTTCTTCGAATCCAAGTGAGATACGAGATTTTTTTTTTTTCTTTCTTTCTATAAAATCCCACATTCGAGTTTACTCGAGATAGAATACACCGAAACTTGGAATTCGATTATAGATTATACGCAAGAAGTTCTTCTGTTCAAGAAATTAACAAGAATGTGTTGCGCACATTGATTTATCGACGATTGCTCAAGTTTCTATCGACATACTATTTCAAAATATTCCAATTTTTATCAATTATTTTCGATTTTAACGATTTCAAAATATTAAACTTTTCCGATCTTATCGGTAATCAACGATACCACAACACTCCGTTAAATTCCAAGGATTAACGAATGAAGAAGAAAAATAAAGCACAACAATGGAAACAATCAAAATATCTGTTAAGAGAGGGAACGAAATACAGGATGATCGCCGATCTCGGGAGCATTAACGCGATCGATCGCCGGTACTAGACGCGTGCTAATTAACACCGAGAAGGGAATCAATCGAGGCAGATGTTTATCGAAATCCATCGGCGCGACCCGTGGCGGGAGAGAAGGCGGGGGAGAGAAGGACAGTGGCGAGAGGCGATCGGTGTCGGGATAAAAGGTTTCGGGGCGGGTCGATTCGCATTCAGCATTTGGCGCATGCTTCCACCCCCGAGCCGTATTTCAGACCCGTGCAAACCCCGTGAAAAGCCCCTCCTGCCGGCGTGATATCGATTGATTTACAGTCGAAAGGTGGCCATCGTTGATATCAAACCAGCCACGCCTACGTTTATACCCGTGAACGCGATACGCGTGCGTGTGTTGAACGGTGAGTGGTGTCGGTTAACGCACTTTATACATCATTTAACATTCGTTATTTCAATCCCCTCCCCCCCCCCACCCTTATTTCGTCTCTCGCATGAATCGCTCGCATGTATCGGCCGTATTACGTACGAAGAATGAATAATTTGCTCGTATTACGGAATTATCGTTCGGTAGAAATTGAAAATTTCTTGAAAAGAAGATTGATCGATTCGAAAGACTCACCGATGCAATGTTGAAATTACGTGGAACAACGGCCTTTGTTAGGGTAGGGATTTTGGAAAGATGGAAGATAGAGAAGTTGACTCGACGAATGAATAATTTGATCGTGGAAACCGGCGTCCCTCCGATTTTTCACTTTCGACAACGGACTCGTCCTTGTCCTCGCCCCCGAAAGATCGTCCAGGATGTCCAGGGACCGGATGCGCCAAGATACCTGGTAAGTAATAGACTACATTAGTGTACAAGCTACGCGTTAGGATCCTCGTGATGAGTAATAAGGGGCGATTATTTTTTTTTCTTATTTTTACAAAAGCTGCTGTTTCGAGGGATGGACGGAAGTTGGTTACCTGAACGAGTCCCCGCGATATTTTATTCCCTTCGAAAGCAACACCGTTGATTCGCTTTGTCAGCAAACGCTGGCGAAACGATCGTGAATAAAAACGCAACAACGCGAATAAAATTTCTTCTGCAATCTTTCCTTCGTAGGGCCAACATTCGTAATGGCCGGCCCACATTAATCGAGGGAGCGAAGAACCGATACGTCCCTGTCAGATTAGAATCGCGCCACTTGACAGACTCGCGCTTCTGTCCGTCCAGAATGCGCGAGGATCCGGCGGAGATTGGTTCGGGTCAAGCGCCGCGCAGGAGGCGTACAACAAACGATTTTTCGTGCCTCCTTTGTCCCGGAATCTTTACAAATGAGATACAAGAAAAGTGGAAGACACGTGAGAAGCAAACATTAACCCTGTGACCGAGCCTGGTGTTCGACATTCCTGGCCGATCGTGCGCTTTTTTTCGTTTTCGTCCAACGCGGATAAGGAGCCACAAGGAGCTCGTTCGAAATTATGCATCCCCGTCTCGTAGCACACGTTAACGTATGCTTCGGAATAGCCGACGAAACGGACTAGATATCGATCTAGTAGGATTTTATCGATCGGATGATGCGCGTTCGAACATTATGCGAAACGAATAATCGGTGGGATCGTTCGTTTCCGTTTCGTGAGGACGATCTGATCCCCGAACGACACTTTTGTTTCGTCATCCGTTCTTTATGCATGCATGCGGCAAGCTTCTTTTCGTCTCGAACGGCATACAAATTCGTCGGGGATTACCGACGGTCCAGCCTCTGTTTACATACGAGGTCGACTCGGTGGAACGAGCCAGAGGCGGGTCTATCGAGTCTATCTCGCGCCATAAATCGCGAGGGGAAATCGCGCGTGGTCCACGGAACTCAATAAAGTAACGCGGAAGGGAATTATTGAGCTCGGCGTAATCAGCCGTAAATAAACGTGGTTGAATTCTGGCGTGGTTCGCGCGCGCCACGAACGATAAGCAAACCGATGGAGAAGAAAAGGGAAAAAACGTGGAAATAGTTTATAGATAAGGGGACGGTCGCTATCAATCGACGTTGCACTTACCGTGCTTGCATACCTCTCGTCGCGTTCTTGGCGTACCATCGATATATCCCGACTCTTACCCTTTCGTTCGATCGTATCTCAACCAAGTGATTTTTTTTCTCCACGTTATACCTCGCTTATATTCTGCCGTTTCCTTTTTCTCTTTTCTTTGTCCCTCCTCCCCGAGCCTTTTGTCAATGTTTCGTGTCCGTTTCTTTTCTCGCTTTTATCTCGTGAAAGTTGTTTTATCTCGTTTTCTTTACTTTACAAGGAAAATCTTTCTCGATTACGACTGATTTCCCTTTCCCCTCTTTTTCTTTGCGCGCGTGTATTTTTAATTTAATACTTTTTAATTTGTTCGACTCGAAAAAACGTCTCGAAACCGGGATCGGGATAGGTCGATGATCAGGTATGGAGGATTAAGAGGAGGATAATAATTCGTGGCGGCCGTGAGAGATCGGTAGAGCGAGATCTTCAAGGATGATCGTCGTTAGTGAACGGGGCATTAGTCGTACGGTAGCCGATGCCGATGGATACGCTCCACCGTCAGTGGGGAGCCAACGTGGAAAGCAACGTCGGGAGATCTGATGGTGACGGGTATTAAAATTAATGGTCAGCCGTGTACGCTGACGTGTCACCTTATACCTCCATGCGTCATTTTGATTGACCAATAAATTATCTCGTGGAAGGTCTCGCGCGTGCTTGGCCATCGCTGTTCTCGCGGTTCTTTGCTCGTTCGAGTAAAAGTCCGACCGTTGTGCAATTTGTTGCTCGTTTCACGCGGTGAAACGAAAGCATACTTGTACGAGCGCCAGGATTCGATAACAATCTCCTCCTCCCATATAGAAATTTCGAACGAGCGAACACTGTAACTCTGCGTACGAAGAGACGAGTAAAAAAAAATAAATAAAATAAAAAAAAAAAAAAAACGGTAGAAAAATCTATTACAATTACACGAAGGATATAAAGATCGAAAGAAGGAGTAAGAACGAATTTTCGGATCGTCGAAATCTCGAAACGAAAGCAAAAAAGATAGCATCGTATACGCGATGTAAATTGCATGCCGTGCAAAATAGCCTACCACTTCGAATAACATGAAATCCGAGGTATTATAGGTAAAAAGGATCGTGTAGAGATCGGACGATAAACGCGTGGCGACCGTTTGGATCGAAAACGGGCCAGACAGAGGGCCGACTTGCTGCGACAGAAGGAACAATAACGAACCCCCGCCCGTCTCGCGAATTTCCCCGAAACAGCTTGAAGCGGGCTTTAATGGCTCAATCCGCGTGTTCCGACAACTCGATGTGTGGGCCACCGGGTCGATGGTCCCCTCTGAAATTTTCTTCTGCTCCCGGTCCCCATGGAAGGCGCGTTACCGGCCACCGATGGGACAAAACTCGAGCGAGCTCCCTTGTTTTTAGTCGCGCCACAGGCCAAATGACCGGGACGCGGCACTCTCATGCATGAATGCAACGTCAGCTGCCATCCCGGGATATGGCGAACTCTTCATTAACCGTGCAAAGGGTTACGGGGAACGAAAAGTCGTCCTCGGTCGAGTGGAATGATTGCCCGATCTTTAATATCTCTACCTGGGCTGTAAATCTGAATTTTTAATTGCCACGCAACGAACACACGGGTTACAGAAAGTAGCAGGTTCGTGTCGAGACGTACGCGCGGTAGAGAAAGAAACCCGATTTCGAGCGAGCCATCCGCGATTTGAATTTCAATTTTGGAAGGTATCGGGTTGGTA